CGCCCTGGCAACTCGTACTCCGTTTTATAGATCTAAATTATGCAGTACGTTAGGTATAATTATATATTATGTAGTTAGTGTAATAATAATTAATAATGGACAAGCGCGAACGGGCATTCTCTCTAAACTGCCTCGTTTCGTAAGTATTAAACCTCGTGTTGTTTAGTTGTGTGCTATTAATGGGAGCAGATCTCGAGGCTTTCATGGCGCCCTGGCAACTCGTACTCCGTTTTATAGATCTAAATTATGCAGTACGTTAGGTATAATTATATATTATGTAGTTAGTGTAATAATAATTAATAATGGACAAGCGCGAACGGGCATTCTCTCTAAACTGCCTCGTTTCGTAAGTATTAAACCTCGTGTTGTTTAGTTGTGTGCTATTAATGGGAGCAGATCTCGAGGCTTTCATGGCGTCCTGGCAACTCGTACTCCGTTTTATAGATCTAAATTATGCAGTACGCTATATATCATGTAGTCAGTGTAATAACTAATAAGGGACAAGCGCGAGAACAGAATTTTTTCTCCGATTCTGATAAATTTGCCTTTGGTACCAAAGGTTGCCTCTAAGTGTGAAAAATGCAAATTCACCGTGTAGCACAATCACGTTAACGTCGAGCTGTATGTGGGCCTCAGCTGTGCAATGCAAAAGTGTAAAAAGGACAAAAACAGGTAATTTCTTACTGGGTCGCGCTCAGCCTGTCATTCCGCCTAATCTCTATTAGTATTAGTAATAGTATTTATGAACATGATACAGGTAAGTAATTTCTTATTTAAACTCGACTCCTAAAATTTTTTTTTTAAATGCTGTGCTCGCGCTTGTCCCTATTGGTATTACACTGACTACAGACTAATAGTAATGGTCAACAGGAAATCGCGGCACAAGCGGAATCGCGATTTTTCCCACTCTCCGCAACAAATCGCAATTTTTGACGTTCGCCGCAAAAAATCGCGATTTTCTCAGATTTTTACGACAGATCGCGATTTTTCAGTTTTCCTTGACCATTGTTAATGATCAGGCCCGGCACACGCTACTTCGTAGCACTTGCCATCGGGCCATAAATATTCTATACAAAATCTCAATGTGCCTTCTTGGATATTTTTACAGTAAAACCCCGTTTAAGGGGAGATACACCAAAAACGTTTTTGCTCCGAACATCGATTTTATTTTATATTATGGTCAAATAGACAAAAAGAATAAGATTGCACACCTTCAAAATTTTCTAAAAATATTCCCTCATCGAGAAAAAAATATTTTTCTTTTTCGAAAATTTTTAAAATTTTGAGACGTCTGTCACTGTAATACCGATAGTTGGGCCATTTTAAAAGTTTTTTGGCTGATTTTTTACTGAACATTACTTACAATCCGTACAAGAAGCTATTGAAAGGATTATATAATTGAGCGATAAATGACGAAGTTACAGACAGAAGTTTTGGAGTAGGATTTCTCTCAGATTTGAGTTTTAAGCTATGCAATGTGGCCTCAAACGACTTAGTAAAATTCATCGTAAAAAAGGGCAAAAAAAGGCAGATTTAAGGCTTAAAATGCCTATAACTCAAAAAGTGTCAGTTTTTTTTGAAATAATTTTTACAGAATCGTAATCAGCTTGGTAAGACGAATCTTTTAGTACCAAATAGGTGCTTTTAGAAGACAAATTGTCTTAAATAATTTTCTAGCTCGAACACAAGGGTCCCCCCTTGTATAAATTTTGTACAAATTGTACACATTTTTTTACAAATTTTGTGTCTTTAAATATTATAAATGTCGTACTAAAAGATTCGTCTTACCAAACTGATTACGATCCTGTAAAAATTATTTCAAAAAAACTGATACTTTTTGAGTTATAGGCATTTTAAGCCTTAAATCTGCCTTTTTTGCCCTTTTTTACGATGAATTTTACTAAGTCGTTTGAGGCCACATTGCATAGCTTAACACTCAAATCTGAGAGAAATCCTACTCCAAAAAGTTTGATATGATCATCAGCTACACTCACAAGAATTTTTGAAGCGATATCTGCTGACCCGGCCCGGGTGATTGGTGAAATGTACAACTTTAGAAGTGGGAAAAATTTCAATTTTTATTTTTTCGACCTTGTTTGGTCTGTAACTTCGTCATTTATCGTTCAATTATAAAATCCTTTCAATGGCTTCTTGTACGGATTGTAAGTAATGTTCAGTAAAAAAATCAGCCAAATACTTTCAAAATGGCCGAACTATCGGTATTACAGTGACAGACTTCTCAAAATTTTAAAAGTTTTCGAAAAAGAAAAATATTTTTTTTCTCGATGAGGGAATATTTTTTAAAATTTTGAAGGTGTGCAATTTTTTTTTTTGTCTATTTAACCATAGTATAAAATAAAATCGATGTTCGGAGCAAAAACGTTTTTGGTGTTTCTCCCCTTGACTACAATGTTTAATCACTCTACACTCGCATGTCACGGGCCTTTTTAACCCGTTCTCTAGCTGGCCCTGAATGACTCTTCGAAACCCTAGCCCTCTAATTAAATCTGATCCAAACCCTAGCCCTAAGTCTAACCCAATCCCTATCAAAAGAATATACTGAAACCCTATAACCCTAATTATACCAACTTCCTTCACATAGCCATGTGTAATTGTATACGTGGGCGCGCTACTGCAAGTGAGAGGGCTCTGGTTAGAGCAACCAACTTCCTTATACGGTCATATCACGTAACCGAGACAGTTTTTCACCATTTTAACCCTCGAATATGTATCCGGTTCCTTCCAAATATACGGCTTAATTTACGGTTCCGGTCTGGTTTAGGTTGACGGATGTTACTCGTCTAAATTTCTTCGAAGTAGCGCGCGCGCCGCTTTCTTCTCGAAATATTATGGCCCGATGGCAAAAGCTACGAAGTAGCGCGCGCCGGGACAAACCATTAACAATGGTTAAGGTTTAGGTTGCGTGGCCGCATATCAACTGGAAATTTCAAGATGTTTCAGACAAATTGTATTTAAAAAACTTCATTTGGGAATTTCAGGTAACAGTCTGATCTTGAGACCTAAAATAAAGCATGTCTCGAGATCTGATCCGGTTAAAAAGTCTATATGCCGGGTCTTTAGTATAGGATCACAGGGACTAATGTATAGATCTATAAAACTAGGTAGTGCGCCATCGACAATGAGCCGCGCGTGCCGACTGTAGGATGGTTTTTTAGCGCTAATTTCGGCCAGCACAATTTTCTTCAAACAAATAGATATTAAGTATGCTTTCCGACCTCCGATTGCAACAAAAATTGGTAAGCTTACTCATAGACTTACAAGGACAGTGTCCGAAAAGTTTAAAGCATATCCAACCATCAAACATTATGTTACAGCTAAAAGCAGCGTATTTTGCCCCATTTTGATCACTATATCAACTCCGATATCCACCAAATTTTTCGGACAGTTGTGAAAGCCCTATTGGAAGGTCGTCGCCAATTTTCAGAATGATCTCATTCAAGGAACTGAAGATAAATCCAAATAATACGACAAAAATCAACGAATTTGGTCAAATTTGGTCAAATTACGCGACTTTTACAGCTAATTTTGCTCCAAAAGCCGCGCACCATCAAATATGGCACCTAGGCGAAACTCACTGATCTTTCCAAAAAGGTATGACAAATTTGGTATTGTGAAAATTCTCACAGTCTCTAGAAAACAATGGTACAAAAATTTTTAAAGTCCTAGCAAGTTTATTTTTATGGTGCACCCCCTAATAAAACGGAGTACGAGTTACTGGGGCGCCATGTAATTAAAGCCCCTCGTTTCTCCGCAAAGTATCTCTCGTTGTGCTAACTTACAATGGAGTTGCACTGTTACAGGGCAGCTAAACATAATAAAACTTGTATGGATGAATATCGCTCCAATTAAGATTACATTAACACATAACTGAACAACACGAGATAAGTGGAAAACGGTAAACCGAAACGTTCTGTAAGTGTAGTGCGTCACTAAATCCTGTCATCGTTGTTAAGTACGCCGAAAAATAGGTTGGTCATCAAATTTCGCAAAAAAATCATGGTGAACCTGGGTCCAGGCCACCACCCGCGCCGCCGCAGTCAACAGTACCACTATCCGTAATACTAATAGCATTAGCGCCACAAAGGCCAGCGACAGCGCCCCCCGCTGCTAAAGCTGCGCATCCCGTACCAAGACTACCATCACAGAAGAATACGCCAAGAATACCAGCAGCTACTAATGCAACTGAACATGTTCCAGTTACAGCTGCTGTTCCTACTTCGCAATCACTTCCAGCACTTGTACATTTCTCTTTCTTACCTTGGTACATCAAAACAAAACTACCAAATGAAACGATGTTAAGCTTTTTCAATTACAACCCAAATTCAACGGCCATAATAAAATAAATTACAAACGAAGATTTTGTTGATGGAGAAATTTGCAGTCTTAATTTGCTCCCATATGTTATATACTAAATATTTTCAGGAAGACCCGAAGAAGAGAAAGCGAAGAGACAGGACTGGGAAGAACGAGGCTAAGGAGGCTTTCTATTCAAAGCTCAGGAGGAACTTGGGGGACAAAGTTTGAAACTTCATTGTCGCAAAGTTAAACAATTCAAACTTCGTAGACAATAGAAAGGGCAATTTCAGTCGCGAGTTACGGTTAATTTATGTAATTGTTTATGAAATAGTTTAATTTATGTAATTTGTGTTTCAGAATCGTTGTTTCAAGCGATAGAAATGAGACAGGAAGAAAGAGGTAAAAACATGGAATCATTTTTCGATCAGTTGGAAGCAAAGTATGCTCAACCCACTGAGAAAAGGAAAACAGGAAAAGCCAAAAAGAAGTGATTATTTATGAAAATGGTAACTTTGTTTTATCAGTGTTTGCTATGTTTTCATACACAAAAAGAAATGTTTTTAGCGCAGTGATATTTTTATGTTTTTAACGAAACACCTGTTTAACAAAGTGTATGAGTACCGTATTTCAAATTTTAATCGAATTTATTATATTCACTACAATTGACACACCTTGTTCTGTAATTACTATTTGAATATTTATAAATCACATTGAAAGAAGCAATATTATTTTGTTTGACTTTTAAGAATTAAAAATCTTTCTTTTTTCACATTATTCGGACAGGCGCTGGTTGTTAACGAACAGAATCACTAATATATTATAATTTTATTACGAGATAATATATTATAACTGATAACAGCATTAAGTCCTGAGCTTAAGGCTTCTCTCAACTTTCATAATTGAATAAAAGCAGTATTTTATACCATGATCAATAAGTTCAGCCTCAGATTAATTACTCTGATTTAGAAAACACCCTCTTATAAATAAACCTGATTACTAGTATTGTCAGGATAGGAATAAAGATAATATCCAGATAATAATACTGGTACCAAGGCTGGTACCCTGGCAAGAAACTATGTCCATTCACCACCGCATCCACATACCCTAACACTTGCAAGTCCGTCACTCTAGTTAACAGTAATTGACGCTTAACATCCGCCATTTTCTCGTAGTAACCACCACTTCCTGTTATCTGATATATTTTAGATCTTATTTCCGGAGCAGTTGTGTTGTCAAGGTCAGGTATCTGCTCACCCAGCCCCAGAGAAGCAATTCTCTCGGCGGTGTAATACTGATCTGATGCAAATTTAGGTACCACAAGTTGGGGAACACCTGAACATATGGCCTCCATTTTACTGGCATACCCGCCGTGTGTTATGAAGAGTTTTATATTCGGGTGCTGGAGCAGTGCCATCTGAGCTACCCAAGGGAACACTCTGATATTATCTGGGAGGTTCTCTACTTGTTTGCTTTGCTTCCAGACTACTTTGTAGGGGAGATCTTCAAAGGTTTCAATCCATTTGGCCTGTTCTTCAGGCGGGCTATCCTTCTGGACAGACCCAAATGAAATGTAGATGAAACCCTCGGAAGCAGAGTCAACATACTCCATTAAATGTGCCGCTATGTCAGCAGGGTTGTAAGCTTTACAGAGGGAGCCCCCCAGTGTCAACACTCCTGGTCCGTACGGTGTTGGACCGTCTACCTGAGGGTGGGGGTGGGACCGCATTGTTACTAGTTTCACTGACTTGTAAGCCCTGTTATATCCTTGGTAATCCGGGACGTGTTGTTTAATCACTGGTTCAATATACCAGTTAGTTAAGGTGGTGTACAACAGACCAAACACCACACGCTTCAGCAGATTCTTAGCTCGAGCAGTTATTGAGCTCTTGACAAGTTCGCTGTCTCGTATCAAGATATCGTTGATGTCTACGCTGGAGCTGTAGAGAGGCAGACCCAGCATTTGGATGTGATTGGGCATCAGAGCTGGAAATGAGCTGTGGATTATCGTGTTGTTTATTCCCAGGTGACTTGCAAGTCCAAGTGAACATGTGTCAAACAAACCAAAAGTTATCATAACATCGTATTTTTTATTTGATCTTAGGATTTCTTGAACATTGGGCTCATCGTACCATCTTTCACAAGAACGCAACAGACTATCAATCGCACCCAACACTTTTTTCACGCCAGCGACCAGTCCCTCATTTTCTCCACCTCCACTATTCCTTGGATCGTTCTGATTCATAGCCTTGGTACAAGTCGGCAGCTCCCTTTTATCCACCCCCTCCCGTAAGTAACCTGGAATATTAGTTGAAACATACGTCACCGAGTGTCCGCGATCGATCAGCAAGTTTGTGAGATAAGCTGATACGGTTTGGTGAGATCCTGTACTGAGAACATTAGCCACCAGGACCTCCCAGCCTCGGGAGGCCTGCAAGAGTAACGCTACAACTAAAAACACACGCATAACAAAATATAAGCTGGCAGATAATGAAATCTGTGGTCATATTCAGTATTCACATGAGGTAACCTAATCTGGCTGAGTGTACTGAGGAAATGGTAATACAATAGTACCTTATTAGTGCGGTCCCAACAAATCACTCGCCAAGGATTTAAAAAATTTGTACGAAAGGGCCCTGCGGGTATGAAAGTAACTTCATTCGATGTATTTTAGAAAGCTGATTCCAAATCAACCCCCATCACATAGGGTCAAACGCTTCCTGGAGAGTTAAAGGCAAAACACTATTTAGGGCCTTAGAGTTAGGGGGCTCGTAATTAGAGACACACTGCACACCATACTTACATCCACATTCACAAGCATATGTTCTCACCTGGTCAAATAAGCGCGGGAAACGGGGCAGACTTGTAGCGCGATGCACTACTGGGTCGCGCGCGCGCATCCAATAATGCTTCTCGCAACCACAGATGCAGATCGGCGAGATGCGAAGGATTGACATCGTGAATCAAGGGGCAGACCTAATCAACTGTTTTTTACACATAGCTATTGTGTCAAAATTACACTAGCGTAATCATTTGGAAACTCACCCCCCTCCCCTTAGTGTAATTTTGTGTCAAAATTACACTAGCGTAATCATTTTGAAACCCCCCTCCCCCTCGGCTGATTACGTAATATGTGAACAACCCTAGGCCTAAGTGCACACACAAATGATGAATTGACAGCATAGGAACGCCTTTCTTGAAATTGAATATACTGTTCAAAGGGCCTTTTCACAAGAATTTTCTTAAAATTTAAGGGCGAGCGATTTAGTAGGAGCGGTTGAATATCCAATATACTGCAGTGAATATGGAGGCTCTGGTGATTTTGAGGATTTACAGTTGAGTAAGGAGACAACATTCCTATAAGATGGTATTTGAGATTTGTTTCATTGATAATGATATTCAAATTCAATATTGCTGGAGTCGGTGATTTCAATGCTCATTTCATTGATTCACGATGTCAATCCTTCGCATCTCGCCGATCTGCATACGATCTGCATACGCCGATTTGTGGTTGCGAGAAGAATTATTTGAAGGGCGGCGCGACCCAGTAGTGCATCGCGCTACAACTCATTTCAATAAGTGGCATTTGAGAAAGATGTTTTACTAATTTCGACCTCTGTTTCATGTTTTGAGTACAACTACTGCAAGTCACATACATAAAGAACCTGAACATGTGACTCGTCTCTGTGTCTGATAGTGATAGTCTCGAGGCCCAGACTTGTTTGGCAAATGGTACCAAGCACATTAATTCTGCTCACGAGGGGTGTTGGATGTTGGAGTATCTTCAATCTTGTCATACGTTGTATGACCCGCCGCGCACGAATGTATGACCCGCCGCGCACGAGTGCGCGCCTCCCCCTGTTTCACCATAGTGAAACGACCGTGGGGGTCACAACGTGATACAAGGAGTATCTGCCCTTTTCACTTCGGAGATCATGTGCGCTGATTGTAAGTTTAGTGGTGCTATAACGAATAGAGAAGCCCTTTTCATAGTATAGGTATAACTTATAAGTAGGGCTCTCGGTTGAAGGTGTGTGTTTGATCGAGTAATAGAATGAGAGTTTAGAAGTAGTAGACTATTGTAATTGATACACACTACGGTCTGCCACTCAATTATCGATATATTAGAATTGCGCATGAGGGGCAGAGAAGTTTTGGTTGTTAATTTATCAGATAATTCGAATGGATTTTGTAAAAGAAGTAAAAGACATTTTATAGAAATTACACAATAATTACAAATAAAAATAAGAAAATCAGAAAGCAAAGTTATCATGAACTTTAAAACTTCAGTCTTAAAATAAGAACAACAAATCAAACAAAACATAAAATTGTATAACTATAATCGTATCTCAATAATAATTGTCCATAACTCCATAACGTTAATACTGCTGAATCGTCTTGGCTACATCAAAGGGGTTGATGTAAGGTTTAACAACTAGTGAACAGAGATTACAGATGCGTCTTTGATTCTCACTCGTCTTGTCGCTGTTCGCTAAATTTCCTGAAATAAGTGGGTCATGAGAACTTTTGTAGGATGTTTAGTAATTGCTGGATAAAATGCACCTTTTAAATTAGTTATTTTCGACACCAAAAGAATCATCTTGAGAAATTGCATGCCATTATCAGTTTATTCAAGATTATTCTTTGGGTGCTACAAGTAAAGTGACAGCCAACGATAAAGATTAAATATACCTACGGTTTTTACTAAAAAATCTAAAAAGCAATTATTAAATCATCTTAATATCTCGCTCCTCTACAAAATGAATACTAACCCAACACAAGTAACATTTGTACAACACTACGTGGTATTTCATAACTTGACTCCTTCTGCCCCACAATGCCCTCAATGACAGTCTCGATCTCAGTACACAACACTACATCATCTCTGAACTGCTCCAGGGTTATCCGCTCCACGCTATCGCCCTTCGCATTCAGGTGCTTTATATTCGCGAATATCAGCTGAAAAAGAGATACGGTCAGGTCATTGAGAATCTAGTCTGTACAGCGAAACTTCAAATTTTAAATTCGCATTTGTAATTGTATCGGATCAATTTATTATCGGACCAATAAATTTCTTATCGCGTGATGTAATATTATTCAATATAGTGTAAAATACGATGTAGCGACCAGACCAGTCCTTTCGGGGCGTACCAATGGTTAACTAAATATGAACAAGCATTGCGCCCGTTTTTTTTCGCTGTGACGGACGCTAAATTTCCGTTCACTACAACATACAAGCTCTGATCAGTTAGCTTCATAATAATTATGCTTTAAATACGGGGTCGGAAATACTTGTGATCCAATTGCCGTAGAACGTAACTTTTATCTGTAATTTGAGAAATTGGAAGCAAAAAGTGGATTTTACTCATGTCTTCTAGTTCTACACTGCACGTGTCACGTACAGGGCCAGCGTGTAAAATGTCTTTTACTACATCACACGTATCGGGTTAAAAATAAGTCAAAACAAAATAGCAGTTTTTTGGTTGGCGGATACTACTTATTAGCCCTTGGCGCCATTAGTCCTATCTGAGTGCGCACGTGCGGTTTGACACTGCACGCGCGTCGCGCACGTCTACCTTTAGTTTTACACTCATTTATAATTTACCGTTTTTAGTTCGCTGTGGCTTGTGTGTAAAGCGCAACAAATGTGGATGTGTTCGTCTGATATGCTTGGTATAATATTTTGTGCTGTAATAGTTGCAAATCTGGCTTACGTTAGAAATAGTGTCTCATAACGAGTTAGAACTCAAAAGCTTGCTGCTTGGTGCTTGTCCAACTGGAATAAAGACATGCATTTCATACCTACCCTATCCATTTTTATTAGGACCGTGTTGTGTTGATATGACATGTTGATATATCAACTGTGGTACAATATAGGGAGTTGCTAGGTGTTACGTTGGTAGCTATAAATATACATAATTTACATGCCTTTCTGTGTGACTTCAATCTTATTTCAGGTGTAACTCGGCTAATGGTTATCGTAGGCTAATAATTCTTTATTCAACCGGTCATAAAAAGTTTCCTCTCCATTGGTTATAGGTTAGCTAGTATTGTAAATATATTCTTAATTAGCAATTTAGTCGGCCCGTACGCTCATTTTACCTGTATATCTTTAGTGAGACTTTAGTGACGTCACAGCCCAAAATTGTCAGCAGTCAATAGGAGTGCGGCGTGGTATTGCGCGAATTATCTATTACACAGTCCAGTGTATTTTTTGATTGCACACACTTTCGCAGGACTTAAACGCGAATATTTGGAAGTAAATTCTAAGGTCCCCTCATCCTTTAAGATTATAGTCAAGACCGGACCTTTCTAACTGCTTCCTATCCCGAGATATAGGGAGTAAGGGAGATCTAATTATGCTCCCCACCGAGCTAGTGACGTCACACCTGCTGTTCTCCACTTTGCTTGGTTAAAATAACACTGCTCCTACTACTATACAGCTATAATAAGGTTGTTTCTGTGTGTGTTTGCTCGTTTGTTTAGTGTTACGAAGGATGAAGTTTTTTATTTAACATCCACAGCACAGTCTAGAGAAACGAATTGAGCTATATAATGTTTGTTTTAATTGATAATACAATTGTTAAATCATGCAATAGAGGCAATACATTATACAGATGCTCATATTTATGACATTCTGGTGAGCAGCGTCTGTGTATGTTTCGATCGTCGACAGCAAACATTCATCGTCGCTTTCTGTGTCAGATTCTGTTCTACTACCAGTACTATCATCTTCAGATTGGCAAATCAGTGCCATTCTGCTCGTATACAGTGTACGTAATTTTATAATGTAATTTGTATTTAAACAATGAAGAGGTCACATTTTAATAGTTAAATCAACCTCCAACAGAATAAGCGAAACTCGTATTATATGGTGTTATGGTGAACTGTGCCGTCCAGTGGTGTAAAAACTCAAGCAAAGGGAAAAGCACGTCGAAGTTAGAAGGCCGAACTTTTTTACGCTTCCATACTCTGCCAAAGAACTCTGCCATGTCAAAAAAATGGAAGGTGAGAATGGGACGTAGACCAAAGGACATAACGGCAACCATGGCCGTTTGCTCCGATCATTTCAACGACTCTGATTACAAGGACATCCTCCGCACACAGCTGATGTCCTATAAAGGCATGCAAATCATCCTAAAAGCCAATGCTGTGCCGAATACTGACCAGGATACCGGCGAAATGAGATCACAGGCTGATAGTCCGTGTGTAACTGGTCGATCAAGGAAGAGAGTTCGGAGGGATGCCACGTCTGTTGATGCCTTCATAGCAGAGCAAGAGGCGATACTGGGAATAGACCAGACATCAGCAGCCCCTGATGTTGTGGACGACCAGCTTCCAGGCCCTGATGTTGTGGACGACCAGCTTCCAGGCCCTGATGTTGAAGACGACCAGCTTCCAGGCCCTGATGTTGTAGACGACCAGCTTCCAGGCCCTGATGTTGTAGACGACCAGCTTCCAGGCCCTGATGTTGTAGACGACCAGCTTCCAGGCCCTGATGTTGAAGACGACCAGCTTCCAGGCCCTGATGCTGTAGACGACCAGCTTCCAGGCCCCGATGTTGTAGACGACCAGCTTCCAGGCCCTGGACCTGACGCAGACGAGCCCGATCAACCTGTACCTCATATCTGCATTTGCAACACCCAGAGAAGAGCAGCTAGCACCCAGACTGAGCTTAGGTAATATTATTCAACACCAGCTGTACCTTTTTTAAATCACCGTTTTTTGGTATCTAGGTTATTGCGATATATTGACCTTTCTTTCACAATAACTTATCTATCATCAGCTACCCCGAGTTACGACCTGAATGTGGCTACTATTCGGATGATGATGATAAAGACGGTGAACTGGGATGCAGATGATCAAGCCTCAAGGGCGGGTGAGTCACTACCCCGTCAATATTATATGTCATATCTGCAGTGGCCAGAAACTGAATAATTGTTTTTATTTCTTACCTATGACCTAGTACTGCATAGTGCATATCATACTGATAACTACAGTCGTGTTGCATTGACTTTTTAATCTTCATTCTTACAAATTTCCAGATAACCTGTAAAACAAAGACACTCGGAGTTCGTGGCAACTTCGCTACAGAGAGAACGACTCCTATCAGCTGGGTTCTCGTTAGCGTGCCGCTCCAACTGCAGTTGTTTATAGCCTGTCAAGAATGTGGCAGCCGAATACTAAGTCGTTCTGCCAGGTTCAAGGAAACTTGTGTGGTATCCGTTGGATTGGGAAACATCGGAGGTATGCATTACCAGCCTGTGTAATCGGGGAAATAAGAAGACTGTACCCTTCAGCTTCAGGTCAATACACAGCCTTTAAGGAGTCTCAATTTTTCTCCCGTCCAGATTTTCTCAATTTTTCTCCCGTCTAGAATAGGCTGCATATTCCTTGAAACTGTTTTCACGATTGTAAAATTTAAGAATACAATTTGATTTTTAGTTATGTTATAACTTTATAAGCATGAAGTATTGAAGTTTACATTGAGTACACAGCTGATTCTGAACTGTTGCAATAAAAAGTAACTACATATAGCTAAGTCAAAACACCACAAATAAAGGAAGTGGGAACACAAAGTGCCCTAGTACTGTGTTATTTTAACCAAGCATGTCACGGAGTAGGCAGGGTGGACGTCACATGAAATTAGTGGTATGGGGCTGTAACTTGGTAATTGAATCAGTTGAAATTCCGTTCTTTCACACAGTGATTGCATTTTATATTATAAATACTATGTCTATCACTATTGAACAAATATTTTTTGATACCAAATCTCCAGCGTCATGACCCTTTAACATGGTAACGGACGGAATGACGACATACCCAAGCCTACTTAGGTAGTGCCTAGTGGGCCACAGTTAATATTAGGGGATTCAACCGATGAACGGCTCCTGTGATGACATTAAATCTGAGAATGATTATTTAAATATTATAGGAATGCACGGGTAATTGAAATACAGAGCCTGACTTGACAATAAAACAGTGGTTGATAATTTAAGTAAAGCCTTCGAGAAAGAATTTTAACTTAAATTCTTCGGTAGATTTTCATGCTCTTGGAAATCGATTGAATCTACCGTTTCGCATTTGAATCAATCAATTAGGGAATAAAGAACCGATGTCAAAAAATATACACTGGATCGACTAGCTAAGTTGAGCTAGCTAGCTACAGTACATATTATATTCTCGGACCAAAAATAAAAAGATAAGAACGAATCGAATTAACATACGTACGTACGTGCGCGCTACGGTAATTAAGAAAATATACCACCGCGTTACTGAAAACACTTTGAAAAAGTGTGACCGTCCCACTCGGCAATTCCGGGACCACGTGAAACCGGAAAACTAGGTCAAAGTCCACAAACCTGCAAAGTTGGAATGATTTCCCTCATAAACTCAGACCACAGTTCACCCAGATTATACAGCAAGTCAAAGTTTTCCCCACAGCGCCTTTTTTCGTCGTTTAAATTGTCAAGTAAACATTTCATTCCACGTTTCATAAGAGTGTTCTTATACTCTGAGGGGTAAAACTGGGATGACTCATCGACAACATGTTGTGTTATTCAGCAATGTGCAATAGAAGAATAGGAAGAATAATAACAATGCAATGAAACGTCGACCAATGTTACCAATCATGAAAGTAGCTAGATGGAATCGTTTGCATAATCTTTTATCTTCGTGGATTCTGGTGGGGAGGTGAGACATACATTTTTGACACGTGACAGCAATTAATCAATAAGCGTCAACAATTGACTTATCAAAGACCAGAATCACAGTCACGTGTCAAAACAATTGTCTCACCTCCAGAATCAGCTCATATTTACCGAGGGATAAAGTAATGTCGTTCTCGTGTCCCACTAGTTCCATTAAACATTTGCTTATCTTACTTAGTTGCAGTTCTTTAAGCTTCTTATCCTTGAAGAGCTGGTGTACTCTGAATGTAATCTTAGTTTGAGTCAACACTTTGAGTCTCACATAACCGCATATTATATAGCATAATAATTCGCATAAACATCATAATTCCAAGAGTAATTTTAATATCAGTCTAGACTGGAGATAATGTGGATTGAAGTAATGACAGGTTTAAACCAAACTTCAAAGAGGTTTTATTAAATTTTACCGGCGGTCCACTGAGATACTCACTTCTGGGTTATAAATGACCAGTTGCTGTCCGATTTGTACAACGAATCATGGTTGTTGGTGTAGAATGACATGAGAAATCTAAACATGTTGATGTAAGTTTTATACAACAAAATATAATTGGTTGTAAAAGATATTAATTCTAGTATTTATATTGGACCGTCATTAAACTTTAATAGAGATGTTTACAAAAATATTACAATAATCAATATGTTGAGATGGACATTCAATTGAGTAATAGAGTAAAACTATTTGAGGGATGCAATTTATTCTAAGACACATATTGATATAAACATGAATATGTTGATGTAAAAAACATATAATTGACATGTCCGCCAATTTCGGTGTCTTTTTTGGACATGTTTTTTGGGACATTATCAGAAATTTACGGATATTAGCGGACATTAAAGCGGACAAAACTTTTTCGCACATATTTTGGGCATAAGGGAGGGTCGTCAGGGTCTTGGATGTCTAGGTATCACATGGCCTCGCCCTCCCGACCACCCGCGAGGCTTCTCCTTTGCACTGTGTAGGGAGATTCCTAAAAACTTGAAATGTCATTTTGAAATTCGGTCCGGGGGGTGTCTGGCAAATACTAACTTAATAAGAGAAAGTGTCGCTTAATACGGACAGTTGTTGACGGAGGGGGGCCAAGAGGGATGAAAATTGCCAAAAACTTGGTGTTAAGTAATAAGTGAACTTCCCTGAATAGAAAATCATGTATCAATTTGAAGATAATAAATGTGAATCATTAAAATAGATCATAAATAGATATTGGCAAAGGAACGGAGCAAGGACACCCCCTATCGCCAGACCTCTTTAAAATCTACATTAATGACTTTTCATCTCTCCTGAAATCTGTTGGTGACTATCCAGTTCTTGCTGACGTTCTGATATCACATCTGCTGTGGGCTGACGATCTTGTCCTTCTTGCTCTAAGTCCCGAGGCCTTGCAAGTCAATATCAACATTCTATTTGATTTCTGTAACTCCATGGGCCTTGAAGTAAATATTAAGAAAACTAAGATTGTAATATTCAGCCCTCCCAAACGAAAGCAGTCCTATGAAACATTCACATTGGGAGGTCAGCCCATCCAGCACACCGATAAATACTGCTATCTTGGCATAATATTCCACAGAAATGGATCGTTTACAGCAGCAAATACTGAGCTGAGGGCCAAGGCTCTCCGTGCTCTCTATGGCCTCAAAGGCAAAATAGTTAAGGATGCCCTCTCACACCGTGCCCTTAATATTCTATTTGACTCCTTAATAAAACCAATCCTGCTTTTTGGCTGTCAAGTCTTATGCCCCCACTCAAAAACCATGAGATACCTTTCAAAAATAGATGACAAAGCCAACCCCCAGCATACCTTGAAGTACATTGCACAAGACCACTATGAAAAATTCCACCTAAAGTTTATCAAGTGGTCTTTGTCTGTACATTCAAAAGCATCAAATATAGGTTGCTGGGGCGAAAGCGGGCGCCACCCTCTATTCTTTGAAGCCTGCAAACTTGCAATAGATTACTATAGTCGCCTTGAAAACACTGAAAACGAACTACTCTGTGCTGCATTTCACGAACAAATCATGTTGGGACTTCCTTGGTATACCAACATCTCAAAGCTTCTCACCAAATACAACTTCACCCCCTCATCTTCCTCAAAATCTAAGCTCTCCACCCAAATCAGTCATAACATGAGGGAAGAATTCGTGAATACCTGGAAAGCTGCCAAGGCCTCCTCGCCAAAACTAGAATTCTATAACTTAATTAAACATGATTTCGAACCAGAGGCATACCTACGAATTATCAAAATACCGGATGTTCGAAAAAGTCTGACAAGGTTTCGTATCAGCTGCCACAACCTCTACATCGAAAGGGGCAGATACGAAACCCCCCTTGTACCAAGAGAAGAACGTTGGTGCACCTACTGCTTTTTCAGCAAAGGGCTCAAGCCTATTGAGGACGAAAGTCACGTATTGATTGACTGTTTGCTCTACTCCTCAGTTAGGGAAAAATTCAATTTCCATCCCCTAAACATTACTGACCTAGTCGGTTTGCTCTCCAACAAAACTCTAGATCCTACCACACTCACTGCCACAGCAAGAGCAATCCATTCAATTCTCTCTGTGAACGAAAATTATACAGCCTACTATAAGAGCCCAGATTTCCAATCAAATACTGGCAAGTGCATAATGCTATAGGACCTTAAAATAAGATTGAACCATACAAACTCGATTTATCTATTTTTCTAAAACTAGCATTATATAACATTTCTAAATTATCCCTACACACTTGTAAATAATTAGAATTGTGTAACTTAAATTATTTCAGAATTACAACTATTGTGTACTCAATAAAGTAATTATCACTTTTGTATCCTTGTATCCTTGTATCCTTGTACTAATTATTATCAAATAAAAGTTCAAAGGAAGAGAGAGTAAAAAACAACGCCCAAGTCTAATCATTTCCTGAAAAATTGAAAAATCAGATTCAATAACTAAGATACATTAATATAGGAATATACCATGGGATGAGAAAATCCGAAATAGAGTTTACCTTACCGAAACTAATCAACCAGGTGGCGAATTCCAATAAATAAACTTCGACTGACGATTTATCTGATATGTCTGTACCAAAGAGATCGAAAAATAAAAGTATCCTATATATTGGTACCCAAACTAAGAACACATATGTTAGCAATGCATAAATTAACGCATAACAAAGCGGCAACCAAATTTTGTTTAAAATATTACCAGACTTCCACATCTTAGCATACTGTCTTCCACGTCTTCTAATGGCGTCAAGAGGTGCAGTGACTACTGCTTCTACGATTATGACAACAGATGACAATTGGAGAATAGTAAAATCTAAAAATGTTTTAAATATTTGCACGTTGTTCAAAAACAAAAGAGTAGATGAAACCGAAATTACTATATATGCGACATATTTATAATGATATGACTCAGTTTTTTTGCTCTCCTTAAATAAATTGTATAGCTCGTAGATGAAAACAGTACCGAGCAACAAATTTAATAAAATAACTCCGCCATTTCTAAATAATGTCAATGGGCTCACAAAATCAGTAGGTGTTGTGAAATCCCAAGTATGATCGATCGCAAATTTATCAAAAATTTCTTTTGAAAAATGTTGACAGTTTTTATCGATGATGTCGTATTTAATTGACTTCAGTAAATGTCTTAGACGGCGAAAAATGTCACTGACCAACATAGTTGACTCATCTTTGACAAGCATGAGTATTGGTTTAGGACGAGGTTTGTACTGAAAGTAAGATAGAACCGAATCATGGTTGGTTCCTCGACTAACATATATACCATCGGTCATTTTATCCAGTGCCCACCACGTTCCATCACTTGTTTCAAAAACCACAAAAGCGTGAAAGTCCACAGGGAGGTATTGTCGCTGTAGGTAATCACGAACAGACGGTGTAGAACTAGAGAATGGACCACTCAAAGGACTACTGTAGACACCAATCGATTTTAGAGTAAGGCCTTCAGAGTTTATAAATACCCGATTGAGATTCAATACGTTGATCCTGGCACAGCTAGCAGGTTGTACGTTGTTTTCCGAAGAAAGATTAACAAGCGTACCATGATTCTTAGAATGAAAATCCTTCCACATCGCAGGATCACTAATCATCATACTGAGCCACACCAGGTTGTACAGTGAGAGAACAACAACTTCCAGGAACCTACGACCTCTTGATGGCATGACAATGGAATGGTTTTCATCTTGTACACTCATCCTCTGTGAGCAATGACTCAGTCACTCAGTCACTCAGTCACTCAGTCACTCAGTCACTCAGTCACTCAGTCACTCACATACATCCTGGGATAATTTTAATTAGATTTAAATAGTTTCTTTACATATATCTTGTATACAGTGAACTAAACGCCCTATATTGGTATTATTTAAACCAAAAATCCGGTAGAAGTGTTAATTCTAATGTGCTCTGGGAGTCAGATGATTTAAGAGGACGGTAATCCTAACATTACCATGTTGGTCAAAATAATCTGTAAATAAAATAAACTTTATCGAGTAGTTTGTAAACAACATGTACAGCTCCCATACCCCCATATTGGAGCATCATTGTACTAAAATCGAGATGTTTAAACAAATTATTTCAATAAGTCGATATAGACATTCACTTTGTCGTGGTTGATTGATAACTTTATGTAATGGTTTACGAGTAAAACTATTTGAGAGATAAAATGTATTCTAAGACACATATTAATATAAACATGGATTATCTGTACGCTTATTTAAATATTTATGGTTAAATCCTGATAAATCTCATATCTATTACTATTAATGGAAAACTTTTATTAAATCTGTTTCGTATCTGATAAACGGTGTAAATTTAATAATAATCAATTTAATTTCGAATCAAAACTTGTCATAATTTAATTTCTGGGTACCAATAATTCTAAATATTGTATTGACTACAACTAAACATTGGAGAGGTTTCATACATCGGAATAAAGAGTTGCTTCCAAGTGCAAGTAAACTGGAAATAATACTGAGCAAAAAAATAAAATGCACATTATTCGCAAATTTCAAAAGTAACGGAAGCTAAACGACCGGACCAAAAATTGAAACCCACTTTAAAAATCATTTATAATTTTATAATTTGATATACAATTTGTCACGTTATTGGTAAATCTGAAAAGCTTGAAAACTGTGGTGTATTTACAAATCAAAATTCATGCTAGGTTAATTAAACAATATTCAGATTTCATATCCATGGCCATGGAAAATATTTGACATGATATATTACTGTAAATAATGATTAAACTACAAATAGTACAGGCATATAATAATCTATATTCTATATCATGAGCAGATAGCTTAACGATATTGTTATGGTGTTAAAACACAGGAAAATGTACATAGCATTGCTAATACTATATAAATATTCAATAATCACAATCACAAAGATAAACAAACCAAGAAAAAGAAACATCTCCTCCACACTAAGCTTTCCAGTAGAGACACTGAATATGCGAGTTATCAGTACTCCACACTAAGCTTTCCAGTAGAGACACTGAATATGAGAGTTAGCGGTACTCCACACTAAGCTTTCCAGTAGAGACACTGAATATGAGAGTTAGCAGTACTCCACACTAAGCTTTCCAGCAGAGACACTGAATATGAGAGTTATCAGTACTCCACACTAAGCTTTCCAGTAGAGACACTGAATATGAGAGTTAGCGGTACTCCACACTAAGCTTTCCAGTAGAGACACTGAATATGAGAGTTAGCAGTACTCCACACTAAGCTTTCCAGTAGAGACACTGAATATGAGAGTTAGCAGTACTCCACACTAAGCTTTCCAGTAGAGACACTGAATATGAAAGTTAGCAGTACTCCACACTAAGCTTTCCAGTAGAGACACTGAATATGAGAGTTATCAGTACTCCACACTAAGCTTTCCAGTAGAGACACTGAATATGAGAGTTAGCGGTACTCCACACTAAGCTTTCCAGTAGAGACACTGAATATAAGAGTTAGCAGTACTCCACACTAAGCTTTCCAGTAGAGACACTGAATATGAGAGTTAGCGGTACTCCACACTAAGCTTTCCAGTAGAGACACTGAATATGAGAGTTATCAGTACTCCACACTAAGCTTTCCAGTAGAGACACTGAATATGAGAGTTAGCGGTACTCCACACTAAGCTTTCCAGTAGAGACACTGAATATGAGAGTTAGCGGTACTCCACACTAAGCTTTCCAGTAGAGACACTGAATATGAGAGTTATCAGTACTCCACACTAAGCTTTCCAGTAGAGACACTGAATATGAGAGTTAGCAGTACTCCACACTAAGCTTTCCAGTAGAGACACTGAATATGAGAGTTATCAGTACTCCACACTAAGCTTTCCAGTAGAGACACTGAATATGAGAGTTAGCAGTACTCCACACTAAGCTTTCCAGTAGAGACACTGAATATGAGAGTTAGCAGTACTCCACACTAAGCTTTCCAGTAGAGACACTGAATATGAAAGTTAGCAGTACTCCACACTAAGCTTTCCAGTAGAGACACTGAATATGAGAGTTATCAGTACTCCACACTAAGCTTTCCAGTAGAGACACTGAATATGAGAGTTAGCAGTACTCCACACTAAGCTTTCCAGTAGAGACATTGAATATGAGAGTTTGCAGTATCAGCCACTATAACCCTACTCATACTGTCAATAACAACACCACGTGGCAAGGTAATACTCCCCGCGTGGCTATCCACGTACAGTCCCATCAGAGTGAAGACGACCACACGGTTGTTGCCGGTGTCACTGGTGGCAATGTAACTACCGTCACTGCTCACTGCCACACCTGAGGGCCCGTTTAACATGTAGTCTCCCTCTCCTTCTATCACTCTGAGAGGTAGGTGAGTATCAGGGGGGGGGGGGGCAATGTCATAAAATGGAGACTTTTTCGATGGAGAAAATTTAGCGCTGTACGTTAAAAATCTGAAACAGAGTCGACTCCCAAAGGTTATTGACTCTCATTTTTAGGACACCCTGTGGTGGTATAGTAATTTAAACGAGTACTTCTACTAAATCCCACATGGTATTAAGGATTAAGGAAGCTAGGGTGAACTGTCAGTAGGTACCTAATGTAATGTGGAAACTCTAATGTAGGGACAGACCTTACAAAGTCACCGTCCAAAGTGAAGACTTGTAACCGGTTGTTGCGGTTATCTGCTACAACTATGAAGTCGTCTGCTGTTACTGCTATCCCCCACGGCTCGTCCATCTGACCTGGGGGCGCGCTTATTAGTTTAGTAGATTGTCTGAAGGTTAAAAACGGTTATATTTTCAGATAAAGTAGGTTGTCTGGAGATTTAGAGCGGTTATACTTTCAAATAAAGTAGGTTGTCTGGAGATTTAGAGCGGTTATACTTTCAAATAAAGTAGATTGTCTGGAGGATAAAAACGGATTTAAGTGCAAATGCTCCTGGTGATATTTCGGCTAACATCAGAAAAGTTTTCATCAGAAATTCAATAAATGATTAACAGCAACACAGACCTGGCAAATTTCCGTTTGATCCAAACATGTGAGAAAAGTTTCCCTCAGCAGTGAAAACTTGAACTCTGTGATTTCCACGGTCTGCAACTATTATGTAATCCTCATCTGGGTTTAAGAATTAGTGTTAAATATAAAACAGCATATCATTATGTTGGCCAACAAGTGCAAACTTCATCATGATTAAACCAAACTTTTGAAGTTTTTAAATTCAAATTGATTTTAAACGAAACAATTTTAAAAACAGTTTTGATTTTGTTTTGATTATTGTGGCACATCCCAACCACCTAGAAATAAAATAAAAGGGTGGCGAGTCCCAGTCACCCGTGTGGCCGAAGCTCGCTATTTAAAATTTAAAATGTTAACAAAATCAAGATTGTTTTGAAAACGTTTTACTTTGTTTTGATGTTGACATTTCTCGTTTCAGCTTATTAAAGCATGGGAAATCGATATCATTTTGAAACTGTTAGATATTATAATACATAGTAATGAATCAGATCAAATATTTTTCTGGTTTGTAATGAGCAAAATCTGCCTAAAGATAATACCCAAATAAATAATGACGAACGTTACCAGTGCAAGTGGTTACCAGTGGTTACCACTTACCAGTGGTTACCAGTAGTTAGTTACCTGTTGAAAGAGCAACTCCACAAGGAGTGTGGAAAACGCCCTGTCCAGAACCCTGGTTGCCTAGCAACGCAGCAGAGATACCTTGACGACCTATTATTTGTACGAACTGTCCGCTGGAGTTAAACACCTAACACAGGTATAGTTTAGAGAGAATAACAGTTATTAAGGGGGTAAATCGTAATTATCCTATTTGCGTTCAAGAATGAAGTTTCTATTATCATTAATATGTAAACTGTAATTTAAATTAAACTAAGAAACATGTTAGAAGGGGGAGAAGTAACCTGCACACGATGGTTGCCGCTGTCAGCTACATAAACTTTACCCAACTCAGTGACGGCCACGTCACGAGGACAGAACAATTCGCCCTTATCTCTACCGCTCTGAGAAAATAACCTTATTTCTTTTTTAAGCTCCTCAGTAACTGTGGTTTTTATCTCATATAATTTTCCTTGTGTAATTGTCATTTTTAGCTTTTTTAGCTTTTATTTCGGCCATTTCTGATTTAAGGTAACACAATTCTGGGTTGAGAGATTTAAGATTTAGGAATTTCTTCATATTCTTAGCCTGCAAGGGTGAACAAAAACACGAAACTGGAACATTCGAATACTCCGCTCCAGGAATAAACTCATTTTACCTCAATCATTTGTATTGGTTACAACGTTTTTATTGTTTTGATTAAAACTGTTACTTATAAACAGGGAATCAGTTACTTTGAGCTTTAGAATTATAATCCATGTTTATGATATAATATTTTTTTGTTCATAATCTCCTCAAATAATCTCCAATAAATTGTCGAACGTTACGTGCAGTGTTACCGTGTAACTTACATGGTTACAGAGTAGTTGCCTGTGAAGGAACTCCACAGGAGTGTGGAAGCCTTCCTCTCTGGAAACAATTACAACATATTTAACATATTTAACATATTTAACATATTTAACATATTTAACATATTTTAGTAGTAGCGATTTAAGCATATTGCGTGCCATTAAAATACTTGGGTAAATACTATTTAATATTAGCATGGTGTTTACATATTTTATATTTTCCCCAGAATTAATAATGTCTTATAAGACAAACTTATAAATAAGTTTGTTATGGGCGGCCACTTATAAATTGTGGCTTGTATTAAGTAAATAAACTATTTAACATCAGAGCTGACCGTCGTACGCGGCAAGCAGGAGAGAAGGTGGCCGGATTTCCATAACATATTCAGCTCACATTTTGATTTGAAATTCTGCGATTCGTACATGGCCGTGAAGAAAGTTTGTGACAAGTTTGTGACAAATTTGTAACATGCGGACAAAGAGGAAGGAAAATAAACGCGGAAATTATTTCTAGTTTTTAAGTCTCTGCAGTCTGACGTGTGGTTTTTATCTCGATATACTTTTTACAGAGGCTCGTGCACAATAAAATTGTCATTTTATGGAGCGTTTGTTTGTAATAGCAAACTTTATATGATAAATCTGCTACTAGAATCTTCTGATGAGGTAAAGGTCCTAAAGCAGCAACTGATTATGAGATTTAAAGGATGAGGGGAATTTACTTCCAAATATTCGCGTTAAGTCCTGCGAAAGTGTGTGGAATCAAAAAATACACCGGACAGTAGCTGTGTAATCGATAATTCGCGCAATAAGCTTGCTGCTTGTTGCTTGTCCAACTGGAATAAAGACATGCAATTCTTACCTACCCGATCCATTTTTATTAGGACCGTGTTGTGTTGATATGACATGTTGATATATCAACTGTGGTACCATATAGGGAGTTGCTAGGTGTTACGTTGGGAGCTTTAAGTATACATAATTCACATGCCTTTCTGTGTGACTTTAATCTTATTTCAGGTGTATCTCGGCTCATGGTTATATATTCTTAATTAGTAATTTAGTCAGCCCGTACGCTCATTTTACCTGTATTTCTATATGCGCGGATCAGAGCAGGAAACTTAAGTGACGTCACAGGTTCAAATTGTTTTGGCTGGATATCTCGGCGCGCGAATAAAATACAACTTTACGGATTTCACTAATTACTTAATTCACTAAATGACTAAAGTGCTTTATACGATTAACGTAATAGAAGGATTTGCACGAGAAAAACTTTCACAAGCTCCCCTCATCCTTTAATGAGCTTACTGATTTAAAAGTTCTCGAACACAACTTATTTCAACGAACGAATATTCTAGTTGGCAATCAATCACTTACTCATCGATGATAAATAACTTGATAATGCCCTGGCAAGCGTACCTATAGTTGCCCTGGCGAGCGTACCTATAGTTGCCCTGGCGAGCGTACCTATAGTTTCCCTGGCAAGCCGCAAGCGTACCTATAGTTGCCCTGGCAAGCGTACCTATAGTTGCCCTGGCAAGCGTACCTATAGTTGCCCTGGCAAGCGTACCTATTTGGAATGACCTCAGCCCCTATGTATTCGAAATATATGATGCTAATGAAGATGGGATAATAATCCCGGGTTCTTCCAAAAATTCAGACTTATCAGCCTCGGGCCCTCGTCAGGTATTATGAAATCTAACCTTAAAAAGCACTTGCTATCCCTTCAAAATCGATATGACCCTAATACATGGTAACTAATCTATATTATATCTCAAATTCTACATCCGGTACGGCTCTGCACACATGATATCTCTCTCTGCCATGAAACATGGCTAACCTTTTAAACTATGATTTAAAACCTAAACTTTAACTAAAACTCAACTGGGCTCTCCTGTGTCACCAAACTAGACCAATAATTAATTTTAGATTATTATATTTTTCTATATTTGTATAATAAGTATATTGACGTAGTGGATGGTTGAGGGGGTTTCAAGCACAGGTCACTCTCAAATCCTAAAGATAAGCAGTGGCCTCCGGCAATTGAAACCTCTTCAAACCTCCCCTGATTTATTTATTATTGATATTGTTTGATTGTGCCGTAAAAATAAATATTTGTTTTATTAAATATTTGTTTTATTATAGTTGCCCTGGCGAGCGTACCTATAGTTCTGAGATAGTATCCAGATTGGTGGTACACCTGAACTCGTCCATTTCCCGCGTCTGCTATAAAGATGTTATCATTCCTGTCGACAGCTAACCCAAACGGATAACAGAAATCTGTTTCGTTATCTCGAGCAGTTGCGAAAAACTGAAACGTAAGAGTCTCCATCAGGCTGAGGCTGATATCTTGAGATTAGACTGAGTCAGTCTAAACGTGGGGGAACAGTGTTTTCTGAGCTGACCCTTGAGTCGTAATTATTACGAGTAAAAGCAGTGAAAAGACGATACATTTTTCTTTAATTGATAATCACGAAATTTATAAGTTTGTCAACCTTAGCTCTGTGTCCCAAATTCTTTTCTTCACACACTACGTCTTCGTGGGGGTGGTCAGCTGCAGGTAAGTTTGAAAAGTTTTTATACCCTTTACTCATTAGTCATTATCTCCTGGGTAATTACTAATTAGTCATTACATCCTGGATAATTAATTAATTGATTGATTAATTAATCAATATTTAATTTTATTTACTGGTGCCTCCTTTGTGCACAGATTATTCCATGTTATCATGGGTTTCTTAATCAATTAGTGCTTTCTGATTAATGAAATTAGTTATGACCATATTTGAATATATTACTGATTAGCAATGCTTGCCGAAAGTCTATTAATTAACCAAGAAGTATTTTATCGCTCAAGCGGTTGCTCGATTTTGTGGCAGATTTTATCACTACAAGATTAAATACTTGAAGGCTCTTTTAATGAGAAAACATTGTCATAAAATGAAAAAAAACGTAAAATATTAAATATCGTGCACATTTTTGTACAAAAACTCTGATATGAAACTCATTTAATTCGAGCTATTAATTGTCGTAAAAAATAATATTCATTCTCACCCCTGGTGCTAAAAACCGATCTAATAGCCTTCAATATTATTTTCACATGGCTTCACAATATGTGTACAATATTCGCAAAATTCAAATATTTCTAACGTAAATCCACTTTGTACATTAATTGTATTAAAACCCAAAAAATATCTTTCCGGTTGGTTGAATGCAACATATTCAAGTAATGGAAAAGGAAGGAAGATGCTAGCAATTTCTGTTTAAAGAAGTCTATCGGAGCCCTTTATTTGTTATATAATATGACCAGGTCCAGTCAATAAAGCCCCTTTCAATTAGGTGACCAGGTCAGGTGAGAATGTGTAATTAGTGTTGCCAGCACTCATGAGAGCGTGGTACCGTGTGGGTCACTGTTCTATCAAATCTTCATATCATTTACACGCACAATGATGTGTTATATAATATTTGTTGGTTATTGTACCAAATTTCCTATCAAACGCTAACAGTTGAAACATGTATCTAGTCACTATATTTGACAATTTCTTCAGAGTCTTCATGATTTCAAATTTTCTGCCAATATATGAACAACCCAAAATACACAATCAATGTAACCTTATATCTTCATTTTCAACAGCTGACTAACTCTCAATACCCCCAATAAATTAACAAATTCATCTCTTGATCCTTAAAACAAAATTTTCAGGAAATCAGGCGGACATTGTGTCGTTTTGTGTTGGTACAGCTTGCAGTGTGGGATTAGCTGATGTCAAACCGATGGCTGATTTCTTCTGCAGATGCCGCTCCATTCTGAAATTATCACAATATGAGACACCTTGATTAAGTCAAAGCCCCCCGAATACATTTCAGAAAGAATTCATTCACGATAACTTATTTACATAATATATTTTACATAAATTTATTATCAAACCAGACAACATTTTAATATTCTAGCGCAACTAAAACCGTTAATTTACAAAAGTCACGAACGTTATAATTCACAAGAATTGTACAAATAAGAAGAGACGTGAGAGTTCTGACCTGTTGTACCACTTCTCTATCTTTGTATTCTGAATAGCATCTTCCCAGCATGGCATACCGTAGAAAGCGCTGCACATTCCGTACATCTCTATATCTGCTAGGTTAGGCTGGTCCCCTCCCTGGAACTTCTTCCCTTTCATGGCTGAAGAATTTACGTTCAACGGATTGATATTTAATTGGGTAACCTCAATTTTACCACTTACTGAACCTGTTACAAACCTAGAAATTATTAATTAATCATTTTGAAAGCCTGTCTATCTGAAAAGTTAGGTTAAATATGTCGTCTTCAGAGTTCGGATATAAGATCGGGAACCGGACAATAGGGCGGTATTTTCATAGAAGGGTGGACACGAGGGCGGATCACATGACTAACTTTAACATGGATCGGGGGCCAGCTTTTGGCGTGGGATGTACCTAAATTGTAGTATGCGAAAGTAACATGACCATAATTTAATATATGTGGTACACCCTGTATATATGAATATAATCCAAACTCGAGAAGCCTATAGGTAGGCCAGAAATTAAGTGCTGCCGGGAGAGATTTATATTTCTATTACCTTATATTATATTTCTAGAACATATAATAATAATAGAACCCTATATTAATTCTAGAACCTTATATTTCTAAAACTTGGTCCAGAATTCGTTTTTTTTTTCTAAATATCAAAATGGAATGAATTGACAAATAAACGAATAAACAGATAAATTTAATCACATCTGAGCCAGTTGTTGAGACCGCTGTACAGCTCGATTCTAACATCCCTGTCAAGATTGTGGCGTTTCCTCAGACGTTTGCCGATCATGTACATAGCTCCAGCACCCACGTAACGAATGTACGATCTGAAAAGGTGGCATTAATTACACTTAGAGGTGACGCTATGACTAGGCTATCCACTCCGATAATCGTAACCGATAATTATCTCCGATAATTCGTTAAAAAAAGTTATCTGTTTATCTAGATAAAATGTATTTTTATCGGTATACAAATTCACTAGAAATTACCGAAAATACTGCCACAATACAGTGAAATTTTAAAGAAATATTAGTAGTTTTGCCTCTCTCTGTTCCCAAGTTATCCAAGAAACAGTCCCAAACGTCTTCTAGTATGATAGAAGAGGTAGTTTACCTGGATGTGAGCTTAAGAGATTTATTTACGTTTGTATACCTGTAGAACTGTATGAACTGCAGAAATCCAGAGAAGGTTATTGACATTGTTCTCTTGAGGGTGCTGGCGTTTTACCTTACAACCATTCTGGAGACGGGCACAAGCATGTTACTGTTAACAGAAGTCAAAAATATCGGCAGGGCACTCAATTGAATTCCGGACGTGTTCTGGGGGTGAAACATTGTCTTCAAGAGAAGGAATCTGTAGCTCCAAGTTATCAACAGGATAAGGAATCGGTTCACTGAATCACTTTAAATGCTTTACTGTTTTGAAGAGAACTGGTAGTACACTACTGTTCTCAGGAGAAGGAAACCGTTGGTCTACTGTTTTAAGGAAAATTGGTGCGTTACTGTTCTCAGGAGAAGGAAACCCTTTGTCTACTGTTTTGAAGAGAACTGGTACACTACTGTTCTTAGGAGAAGAAAACCGTTGGTCTACTGTTTTGAAGAGAACTGGTGCACTACTGTTCTTAGGAGAAGGAAACTAGCGCTATACTGTTTTCTGGAGAATGTTCACAACTGTTCTCAAGAAAACTGGTGCTCTAGTATTTTAAAGAGAATTGGTGCACAACTGTTCTCTGGAGAAGAAAACTGATGCTCTAGTATTTTAAAGAGAATTGGTGCACAACTGTTCGCGGAGAAGAAAACTGATGCTCTAGTTTTTTCAAAAGAAAGGAAGTGGTACTTTACCAAGATAACTGGTAAAACAGTCATAAAGCTCGACAATTAGTTTTTGTGAAATTTGGAAAACATTTTGGCTTTGGCCTTCAGCAGAAAAAATTATCGGTTTCATCGGTTTTATCTAGATAAAACCTAAATCTTTATCTGTTTATCTAGATACAACATTTCATACCGATAATGGATAGCCTCACTATGACCACCTCATAAACAGAGGCATTTAAACTATTAACCATCGTATTTAACCAGGATGAAACCATGCATATTAGGTCCTGGTTTTACGAAGTTTAACTTTGCGATGACGCAAAATACGATTATATTTTACTCTACAAGCAAGTTAAATCGCTGAACAAAACAGTTGGAACAGTTAAAATTCCTATTCTGAGAAATGAACGGTACCGAGCGATAGATCACGTGCAAACGAGAACACGTACCCAGAGTACGCGGCACTCTGAGTGCTCTGCAGCCTTCAGATCACGATCTTAAGTTTACAAACTTTTCCATGGACAATGGACATTTTAAACCCCATTGATCCTAAGCTATACCCAAAGTGTAGTTTAACTAACATACTTTTCAAAGTCAGACAAGTTGCCGTTAGTTAAAGATAAGCTACAAGTTAACATACTTTTCAAAGTCAGACAAGTTGCCGTTAGTAAAAGGTAAGCTACAAGTTAACATACTTTTCAAAGTCAGAGAAGTTGCCGTTAGTAAAAGGTAAGCTACAAGTTAACATACTTTTCAAAGTCAGACAAGTTGCCGTTAGTAAAAGGTAAGCTACAAGTTAACATACTTTTCAAAGTCAGAGAAGTTGCCGTTAGTAAAGGGTAAGCTACAAGTTAACATACTTTTCAAAGTCAGAGAAGTTGCCGTTGGTAGTGAAGTAGTCGAATGCAGTGAGGGCCTCCTTCCAAGTTCTGTACACGTTTGGGGAGATCAAGTGAACAAAATGGGTGTCTATCCACCTCCTCCATTTAGCTTCGTTTAACATCAACTGTAAGGTTATCATCATTACAATTTGCTGTCTTTTCAAAACAAGAAACATCAACTGTAAGGTTATCATCATTACAATTTGCTGTCTTTTCAAAACAAGAAACATCAACTGTAAGGTTATCATCATTACAATTTGCTGTCTTTTCAAAAAGTCAAAACAAGAAACATCAACTGTAAGGTTATCATCATTCCAATTTGCTGTCTTTTCAAAACAAGAAACATCAACTGTAAGGTTATCATCATTACAATTTGCTGTCTTTTCAAAACAAGAAACATCAACTGTAAGGTTATCATCATTCCAATTTGCTGTCTTTTCAAAACAAGAAACATCAACTGTAAGGTTATCATCATTCCAATTTGCTGTCTTTTCAAAACAAGAAACATCAACTGTAAGGTTATCATCATTCCAATTTGCTGTCTTTTCAAAACAATTATGACGTATTGTAATTAAATTTGAGATACCGTGCGCAGTATAATCAAACCTTTATTTCTTACCCTTTAAATAGTTGAAAACTATCAATGAAAACATGTGAAATGTATAATGTATAATGTATAATGTATAATGTGAAATGTTTTCTTGTACTCACATCATGCGCATCCTCATCGTACCCCATCACTCTGTACTTGTTAGGATACGTTATCTCTTCTTTACCTGCGACATTGCAGATAAGTCGCTCAGTTTCAGAGACAAATTGTTACTGAATCTTAAATAGATATATGATGTATCTACAGAAAAAGCTATTATGGCTGAAATAAAAAACAAAATCTGATGAATTTCATAAATTTCTATCGCAAGGAATGCAGATTGCAGCGCCAAGATAAAAACTCCACCTTTTTTGTAAGAATGCCACGCAGTGTAAAGGTTACAGTATACACCATAAATCTTATCAGTTACCGTTACCAGTTCCTCCTTTTCAGTACTCTTAATATGAACTGAGGGAACGGGGTATATATTTATATAATTATATAATTATATAATTACATAATTTTATATCATGTTGGGTTGATTTCTTTCCTCAAACTTTTACTTAGAATTTAAAATATACGCGAATAATCAATAATAATATATTCAATATTAATATATTCTCCGGGAGACTACTTAATAACCTACTTTAGATCTGATGACACGCACAGCTCAATAAAGTGTCTTGGTATTACATTTATTAGAGATGTGGGTGAATAAAACCATTTTAGGTATAAGTCATAACTCTAGAACCTTCTAAAATCTTCTAGAACCTTTAGTCCTTTAGTAATATTTCAAGAAAAGTTAGATTTTTATTGACGAGTAAGAGTATATCATTAATATTTAGAGAACCCACAATTTGTATGTTCCCACTTCCCACCAGTATACCGCACCTTTATTAGTATCCTCAATACCCTGACTGACAGCAGGGTACCACTCAATAACCTCGCTGATCGGGGTACCCTGAGTGAAGTGAGTGTGAAGAATACTCGTGATCAGAGTTGATTCCTTCAGCTGGATACCGTCCGCTACTAACAGCGGCACTTTCTTGTAGTCCGAGATGGCTTTTGTTTCTTTCTTCGTCACTGGGTTCACCTGGGATTTCCAGGACGTTTAACGTTAGCAAGATGTTTAATTTTAGAGTTATTAGACGTTTGTTAAATCAAACTTATATATGAGAATATTTCTATGGAATGAGACGATTTGAGTAAGATTAAAACTTTACAGCGATACCCATGAAATTACTATACATTGCAGGGGATTATGTTCTTGAGGAGACGTGTTCTGTTTAATATGACTAAACCATATGATAAGGAAAACCTGTTTAAATCAACACCTTTCAACTCTAATCTGAACATGTTGGAAGATAAAGCCAACAAATAGTTCGTAATTTACAGGCCAGATGGCTGGTTGCGTGAGCTCACAATAGAACAGCTAACCTCCGTCTTATCGTTTGTGCAACTCTAATTGAATAGCGGATTTGAGATGCAGTTAAAATCGGCGTGCTTTAAATAATGGTATGCTTGTCGACAACGTAATTCAAAGCATATCCCAATATTGATCAATACGATTTTACTGAAGATAATTAAACTGATTTTTATCTCTGAATCCGAGGCAATAGTTTGATGTGATGTTTGCAAAATTGCATAATTTTTCATCTGCCGCACATTTAGCCTAATTTGTCTGTTCCACATATTTTTGCATATTTTGGTCATTCCTGCAGAATTCTTGCTAAGCTGCACATTTTATTATTAGCGTGAAAAATATACTTTAATTCCTAAGATTTCGGACATGTTGGAAGACTGTTTTGAAGCAAAGACTTTGGGTACATTTCGGGAGCTAGATCTGGAAATTTCAGAAGGATCGTGTCAATGAAAGGAGTTTTCCTTAATTATTTTCGTAATTTATCAAGGTTTTCTAATATCTTATTTTCATGATTTGATTCTCACTTTTATGTTAAACATGGATTGTTTTTTTCAATTTTTGAAATTACCAGCACCTTCATCGGCTAATAGCTGCACTGATCATTTCAGACTTATTTTGCTTACCATTTTAGACGGATGAAGTACCGCATTTAATTTAACAGAAATAACATACCACAAATAACATTCCACAAATAACATTCCACAACATAAGCATTTACCTCAACAATCTGAAATTCTTCACCACACGAGTGAAGGTAGGCTCTAACTTTGCTGCAGAAGGGACAATTGGAGTACTGATACAGCACGAATCTGGCATCCGGTCTTTCAAGCGCCTCCTGTTGTTAAACTGTTGTTAAACTCTTTAAAATAACGATTACAGTAAAACCCCGATATACCGTGCCCCGATTTACCTCGGACTCCGATATACCATGCCCCGATTTACCGCGGACCCCGATATACCATGCCCCGATTTACCGCGGACCCCGATATACCGTTCCCGGATTTACCGCAAACCCCGATATACCATGGCCATTTCCTTTCCCCCAAATAGGGCTAAACATACATAATGTAAACCAAACAAAACCCTGATTTACCACAGACCCCGATTTACCGCGTATGTTTCCTTTCCCCCAAACTCCGCGGTAAATCAGGGTTTTACTGTACTAATTTCTGTTAATCCTGTTGTCCGCGTGATCAGTATTACTATCTGTAGATGCATAATGTTATCCGAGGATATGACCAACTGCTTGCATAAAAACAAAAGTTATTTAAATTTTTAAACTCACAGTCTATAAAAAGATACACCATGAATAGACTATTCATCAGATCTCCAACTTACTTTAGCTCGAGCACTTTTAGTGTAATACCACATGCACCAACAACCCACAGTTGCAGCCCCCATGGCTATGATAGGCCTCATGAAGGGGCCTACAAATGATCTGGGGACGTGTTCCCTCCGACCATGCGGGTTGAAATCCCTGGTAAACTGCCTGGCTGCCCTGGTGAACCGCTGAACAGCGAACATATCTGTGCTATTGAACATATGAAGTGTTACTTATGATAATGTCGCATAATGATAGCATGTATCAGCTGCATCTTTATCTCAAGACACAGTCTAGACTATTAAGGTTAACATATCATAACAGCAGATATATTATGCATATTAAAAGTAAGAGAGATATATAAGTTTTTGTTACTCTGCTTGCCCCCTGTTAAACACTCATTGACTCATCAAAAAGAACAGATAACATGTAGAATAGCTGAGCTGTGTCACCACACGTCGTTAAAAAGATGAACTTTTTTTCAATTGTCTTTAGTAAACTTGTGGTTACTTCAGCTGCAGGATAACTTTAATAATATAGTTGGTCGTGATGAGGTTTATTGCTTTGTCAACAGAGTTAGATTTTGTGGAGCGAGATTTATGATTTTGACCTCGGTTCAAGTTTTATGGCTTTGCCGCCTGATGGCATTTGATTAATCAGATATTACACAAAGAGAATGATTGTTAATTGTGTTAAAGTGTTACCATTGTTAAGTAACCACATACCACACAGTATCATAGTAAGTAAGTATCTTAAATGTGTTAACAGTAGTAAAAGTAGAAACTTTAGTAGTAGAAATAGACACATATTCCTATACTCCTACGATTTATTTGCCTGATTCTTGTTTCGTTTAGTACATTATAATTATGTTCTGGAAATCGTTTTTTGTGGAAACTACCAGCAGTTTCATCAGGTTTTAGCTGCACTGATGGCTTTGTGGCCTGATGGCACTGTATTATTCGGATATTATACAAAGAGCATGATGGCTAACCGTTTAAAAGTGTAATCATTGTTAAGTAACCACATACCACATTACCACACAATATCATTATAGTAAGTATCTTAAATGTGTTAAAGAAGAAACTTAGGTCACACATTTTCCTATACTCCTACGATTTATTTGTCTGATTCTTGTTTGATTTGGTATATATATGTTGTAACAAGTAAAATGCGTTGCAAAGGTACAGAAGATTGTCCCAACAGATGTTGTGTGCACAAGGAACACGCCTTCATCATGCAAACACAAAGCTACACAGAAACACAAGATGCATTCAAGACAGCACTCGAGAAATTCGATTTGGGCAAAACAGTGGATGGCATGGCAAATGGGTTCTCAGAGATCAACTTGCATTCGGCAGTTCTAGATGATACAGGGAAGAAGCTGCCTCCGATTAAACCAGCAGTTCGGACTGTAAAATTGAGTATAAGAGAAATGTTGAGGGATGGCTCCTTTAAATCTCCCTCTAGAGCTGTTCTGAGAAAGACGGTTAAACAAATTCAGGAGGCACAGCGGTTAAAGGAGACCGCAAGAAGGCGTGCTTTAATGGATAAATTGAAAGGGAGAACACTTGCCCAAGCTAAGCTGAACAAGATGACTAGGTTCATGGCTAATCTAGCTGCCGAGGAAAAGGAATCGATGAAAAGAAACCGGAGGTTGGAGATGGGTCTTCCTCCCGACATGAAATTTAAATCCTCTCTTGCTAAAATAAGAGTGGCAAATGTGTTTCAGACGACAACAATCTCCAGTCAACAGGAGAGTGTTGAACCGGTAAAGCTGCCAAAGATTGTTAAAACAAGTATAGAGAAATTAAAGGTCGAAGATAATATCATTGAGTCAGCTAACGATGAAGTAAAGATTTGTAGCTCTTACGGGGGATTTCTTTCTAATGAAGTTGGTCACTCAGAATCTACGTTGAACTTACCGTATATTTCAGCGCAGGAGGAAATATTGGGGGAAGTACCTTCTAGACCTGCATATTTTACTAAAGAAAAGAAAATAAAAGTTCCTGCACATCTTGAACGATTCAGATACATGAGAATAAAAAATTAAAGCTTGTGTTTATGATTTTAGTAAATCTGATATATGTTAATTTTGATAGGAGTTCAAAAGTTATGATTATCACATTATGCCAAAACCCTATGAGAGACAGACTCTTATAAAGAAAAAGAGTAAGTCAATGTTCAAAGTAACTAAATATACCATATTCAATATTGGTGTTCTAAAAAGTTTTAATTGGAAAATCTAAACTTATTCAATTCAAACTACATCAAAAATCATAACAAAATGAATCTTGTACATATAAAATAGACGAATTGTGCATGTTACATATTACATTTTTGATTATAAGTTATTAGAGGATAAATATTGAACATGGCGAAGTTGCTTAGAATGATATGTTGACTATAGGCTCTCCTGAAAAGAGCTATCCAGAATATACATTAAATTAATGTTGTCTGATAATCCAGTGTGCTGATTAAGGTTAACGTTTTTGTCTTACAATCCTTTTACGAATTGAACATAGGCATGTATAAATTAACTATCAATATTGCAACATATTTTGATATTCAAACTGGGCTAATATTGTTGTCTTGCCATATTTTAAAGAAATAAGCACTTGAGACGCATGATAACTATTTCAATTTTAACAGAACTTACAACTTCATGATTGATGTTCCATATAATTAGCAAAATAAAAATGTAATATAATTCAACAAAGACGGTCTTGTAATTCAAGGCCCACTATGCTATTCAAGGAATTAATACCGCAGATGAGAACTTATTATTGCAGCAAACTAAGTAATTTTTAATTGCCAAATCAATTTTTAAAAATTCAAACAGGCTATGAGGACAATCAGTCCAGCCACCCATAAAGGTCACATAACCATATCTGGAGTACCACATTGTATAGATTTATGTAATATGAACCTCAAGGGTTAATTACATCGTCAAACAAGGGGGGGGGGGGGGGCAGGTGTGAGGTGAGTTGGCTTAAGAAGTCGTAGGTATAATCAAAGTCTACAATCTAAAAGACTGACTCTGTGTTCTGGTGACAAGTGGTGTATCAAATGGCCCCCGGATCTCGGAGGAGGATGAGGGCCATCAGATTGTGGAAATTCTTTTTTGAATTTTAGGTCTTTTTAGCAAGCATTTGCCTGATTTGGCAGCAAAGGTTGACATGTTCAGGTCAACCTTATGTTTAGTCGACACGAAAAAGAAATTTTTTGTAAAGGCACCAAATAATTTCAGCAAATTTTTTTTTTGCTGTCCGTACAAAAAATAAATGCCTGCACTTAACTTACATAAGTTAAATTTATTGCAGAATTGCTCATGCTCACAGTAAAAGTACATAACAAACAATCCAACTACACAGAAAGAGGCGAAAAATCATATACAAAGATAGTTCACATTATCACCATTCTACTTCAAGGCCAAAGCTTTGTGCTTCAGAGCAGTGGCGTAACGAAGGGCCCTGCTGACCCTGCTGTGCGGGGGGCGCCATCTGGGGGGGGGCGCCAAATCATTGTTCGAATATGGGACAATTTTGATAAACAAAATTAATTACTAGCAAAACTGCGCATTTTCCTCTAGAAAATGCGCAGTTTTAGCTGGCGTATCCTCTAAAATCACCTAATTTGTCTAATTTTAGGGATGCTAAAAGGGGACATTACGCCACTGCTTCAGAGTTCTTATCTTTAGCATAATAATTACCCTAACTTTACTGGGGTACAAGGATCTGTATGGGGTCGAAAACGACCATGGAGAGAAAAATAAAATAATTGAATTAAAAATTTTAAAAATGTGTACTTTATCACGAAATCGATGAGTGAACTTAGATAACATTTCTCAATATTCGTTGGCCACAAGCGACTATATCAAATATAAACCTGCACAAGACTCAAGAGATGCAACTCAATAAAGCATTCAGAGCGCTAAATGTTATTTAGATAAAAAAAGATCTTATTAACAGTATATAGGTAAGGTAGGCAGTGGCGTAACCAAGAGCCCTGCTGACCCAGCTGTACAGGGGAGGCTCCATCTTAGGGGGGCGCAAAATCATCGTTTGAATGTGGGACAATTTTGAAAAACTTAACTGAGTTACTAGCAAAACAGCGTGTTTTGCTCTAGAAACACACTTTTTTAAATATTTTACCAGCATATTCTCTAAAATCTTTTTTTTTTTCTTTTTTTTTTAAACCTTATTAAGTATAAATTATTCAAACAATATACACATAATATAGCAATGACCCTATATAAAATCAACCCTTTAAGAATTCAAAAAATTCCCTTAACAATCAAAAAATTTGTTTACCCTTGGCCTTGTGGCTCCAAGTTAAGATCTAGACTGTTTATATCAACAATGTTTTTTCTCGCACCTCTGTCTCCACGGAGAGAAATCACTGTTGTTCTGAGGATTTCAAAGCGAAGGCGCTTTCTTATGTATCCTACAGCGTCTGAGTACCTCTGGCCAGTGTGGTACTCCATCTTACTGGCCAGCTTCTTGACCAGTCCCTCAGCTTCACCACCCATTCCACCAGAAGTCGAGAACACTAAAGGTGTGAAGCTTCCTTTCTCCACTTCAAGAACCCTTGCATTGTAACATCGCTTTTTCTCATTTTCATGGGACAGGTACATTGCTGGTATCGCGATCGGTTTGCTTGCATTGGAGGGGGCTGGGGCATGAAATACCCTTACATCAAAAAATCCCCTCTCTGAAGCATTCCAAATCGATCTTGCAGAAATGTCCAGCCTGGCTTGGTCTCCTAGGACTGTTCCCTTTGGTAACTCTAGACCATCAACTGGAAGAAGAACTGGCTCAGTCTGCACATCCTTGCATTTCACAGTTCTCATTAGTTCTGCAAAATCACCTAATTTGTTCAATTTTAGGGAGGGGCGCCTAAAAGGAGGGGGTGCCAACAGGGGGGCGCATTTTCGGCGGGGGTGCCAACAGGCAACGTTATGCCAAAAGTATAATTATATTAATAAGTCTTTATTGTTCACGACTTAAGACACATTCAATATTTTCTAACAGCAATATTTTGTTAATCATCCCACTTATCGTTCTACCTACCATTACACCTACCATCCCACCTGCTTCAAACATAATATATAATAATGCTTCAAACACTGACATCAAAGAATAATCAAAATCATAAATGAGATGCTGTATGTTGTCTACTTGCGTTTGTTTACTTTATGGAACACAAC